GAAGCGCCGTGAGATATTCGGCGAGTCGCATGAAGGGTGCGCTGCATCCTGCTGGGTGTTCGGCATCTTGTGCTTACTTCCTTGCGTACGGATGACAGCTGCGTATGAATTACTTTATTTTCTGGTGCTTTCACTTCCAGAGACAGTTGTAAGCACTGTGTAACTGCCTCGAGGGTGCTTGACCATTTCAACACAACGTGGTGCGATCATCCCCCTTGCGCGGAGCGAGGGTTCTCCACCCCGCACAACATGATCTACTCGGCCACCATTATTGTTACCGCCAAAAAAAAAAATCGGAGGTACAAAAAAAACGGTAACCTGGTTGTCGAGTTCACGAAGTGAATTGGCTTGTTTTACAACGTCGTTGCCAAGCGACGAAAACCCAACCCCGGCGGCAAACACCGGGGGGTACGCACTACGCGGGGGAATATCAAATTGTCACGACCGCCCTATAGCCTTGGTATGAGGGGCAACGCGCCTTTTGCGGAACGGGGCACCGCAACCTAGACTCCCTGGTGGAGGGGCATACCCCACACGTGGGTGGCCAGTCGCGTGTGCACGTGGCTGCAATATTAAGCTGCGGGACGGAAGAACTACAGTACTGCCTACCCCCGAAATGTGTGCGAAAGCAACAGTGTCGGCCAGCGCTCGGAAGTTGTAGATTAACACACCACTAGCACATCGAAGACCAGTACAACAGCCGAACAAATAATCCACAAAAACGCCCGTTCCGTTTTCACGCATTCCACAGCCGAGCATCTTCCCCAAGCAGCGGTGCAAATTTGGCCAAGCCCCGTACTACTTTTCGACGGACGAAAATAGAACATGCGTTCCTCCGACACATCACGTGTAGCATGTGATGCGTGAAGCTCGAGGGCAGGGAGAGATTCTCGAACTCTAACTTGTGCTACCACCGGCTCACCTGAGATATCGCGATGGTGTTGACGACGCTAAACACGCCAAGAAGGGGGAGAGGGAATACGAGGGAAGACGTGATGGCGTTCCACACCCACTTGCCCCCGCCGAGCTGGCGGTACAATCTGCAAACCGCGGGGCACCGCATCATCATACCGCACGAATCACGATTATGTGGGCATGCAAGCAAACCCCCCCTCCGCCATCAACTGAACCTCACCATATCGGAACATACTGCGGAACTCGCAGACACCAATAAAAACAAAAATCGCAATATTTGCTTGGAAAAGAGAGGCTGCAGAGTCGTCAATCGGCGTGAAGGAAACAATAACCAACAGCAAGGAAGCAACAACCCGCTCCCAAAAAGGATCGCCGGTGTGGCTCCGCACACGCACGCGCACACAAACCTTGCAGACATGAGCCCCGAAACCCAGGCCGTGAGCGAGTAGAGCACAAGGATGCACGTCAGGATGGAGCCACGCTTGGTGGGGCGGAACAAGCCCAGAAGGGCGCAAAGGAGCAGTGAGATCGTCACCACGCACAGCTGAGCGCCCGCTCCGCTTAAGGCTGCAAACAAGTTCACGTGGCTGCCACAACAGCAAACCGGGGGAGAGGGGGCAAAGAGGGGGCAAAGAGGGGGCAAAGAGGGGGCAAAGAGGGAAAGACAGTCAAGAGGGATGGCTTCGTTGACCATTTTGTGCCATTGACAACCGAGACCCGACAAGTCTTGAGACAAAAAACGTATGGAGGGCGCGGTACGAGGGAAGATCACTCGAAATATAATTGAACGAGAAGGCAGTCAAAACATCCGAAGATTAACAACCTGCAAGCCCCTTCGTGATATGTTTACCACTACTAGCGTCGGCATCGAGCGGTTGCATGCAACACCGACCTCGGAACTCAGGACGTTCCCGACACGGAACGGCAAACAGATGACGTCAATCGGCCGGGGTCTCCTCATCAAACAACAAAAAAAACTGCAGAGGATGGACTACGTTGGTGTGTCTCTACCCAGCGTTTACCGTGGCGGTGTGCCTCTGTGCGACCTTGGTTAGCCCTAGCCTCCGCGGGAGTTTGTTTACCTTGGGAAGCGGAACACGTCACCGTGGATAAGCTTCCATCCCGATTCCTCCTCCCCGATGTCGTCCTGAACAAGGCAGTGGAAATAGAGAGCGAAACAAACAAAAAACGAAAACAGGTAAGGAGGCACATGTGGGGAAGGAGAAGGGGTTCATCTCGACATTGTAAGTGTCTTCAGACCTCCTACCATCCGTACCGGAAACCAAAACGAATCATTTGCACGCACCATTCGCACGTCTTAAGAGGCGTGGTACATCATCCTCACGCAACATACTCCTCGACTTCATCACGACGACCCACCAGCTCCAACAACAACGTCAACAAAGATGCTGACCATACGCCAAAGAACCAAGACGACGATAGGCGAAACGGGAACCAGCCATCACCTCATCCCCGTCCATGTAGCGCGTGAAGTCTTTCTTGAGGATCCTGAGGAGGATGATGCCCAGGAAGACGGTAAGGATCACCACTAGCACGAAAGCGTTGATGATGGAGAGCCAATGAATCTGACCGGGCAGCGCCACGAAAAGACAATAAGAGAAGAAGCGAAAACATGTTTCATCCAACTACATGGTCGTTTCGGTTGTCGATCTGCTCGCAAAAATACATCGAAGTACAAACAAAAAAACGACCCTATTTACCTCGAAGGTTTTCGGCAAGAAACCACCGCCCGCCAACTTGTCCATCCGAGCACTGAAAGGAGTGTCCTCCTCCCTCCACACCACCGAGTACGTAAACTCAACCTCGATCTCGCTGTCCGTGTTGCTGATGTCCACCTTTGCGGCGAGCCAAGCACAAGAAAAGATGCGCCCCCCAGACGACAAGAACGGCGTGTGCGGGCAGGGCAAAACGAAAACCATCCGAGTGTTGTAGACGACTCGTGGATGGGATTGTGGTGCGAGAAGCGGTACGCAATGGAAATATGCAACACGAACAAGGGAGGAATGAAAGCAAGCAAGGATGGTCTACGCCTTGACAGGGCAACCGGTGTCACCCTTGTCGGGTGGAAGTGGACAACGAAATCAATGAGTAACGAGGGGGCGGAGGGGCACAAAGTGCTAAAATACACGATGTGTGGTGCTGTTGGGTAAGATGATGTAGATTGGCCTGTGTCGCATTAGGGCGAGGAAGCTAAAACTAGGACGATCCGTGGTGTATTCAAGTCCTAACTACCCGACAAGAAACGTCACACAAAAGACAACGGTATTTGCCATAGGTATACACCCCACCAGTCCGCGGAGCACGACTATTCTGTTTTGTAGTTAAAACTCACGTATCGCGACCGGTCCGATTCTGGCTCGTGAGGGCTAGTGGTCACCGAGACTATCCGGTCTCCATTGTACCTGCCGTAAGAAAGTTAAAGGGGCGGTGGGTGAGGATGATCAATTGAGATTGGTGCCTAGTCTTGGTAGTGTTGTTCGGAGAAAAAAAAAGAAGGTACAACCAGCCTAAGTCACCAGAGAAACACGTGAGAAGCAATTTGGCTGCTGCTACTGCTGCTGCTCTACGCTCTACGTTGAGGCTGGCGCCAATAGCAGAGCCGAACGGGTGGGTGTCCTCAAGTTCTCCGCTGTGGAGCCTGTTTCGTCATCTACTCACTCCAGAGGCAGAAAATGCGGTCAAGGAGTCCTGGCAACCAGTTTCCGTGAATCCAAACAAAATACGCGTACATGCAAAGAGAGAACGACCGAGAGCATGTTACAATGAAGAAAGAAATAAAAGAGAGCAAAGAAACAACCAAGATTTCTTAACTGTGGCGATTACATGGAAGACGGGCCTACTGGGGGAAGGAAAACGCTCACCCGATGACGAAGTGGATGTGCGAGTAGAGCTCCACTTTAGCCGCGTCCTGCCATATCCTCAAGGGGTCGTGTCCTTCAACCTGGCCAATTGGCCTTAAACGCGAAAAGCGAAGGAGCCAAGGGTACCGGGGAGTGAGGTGGGTACACCGCATCTCTCAAGGCGTGGCCAGGAATGCCCGGACCTTGCAAGGGAGGGTGGGTACTGGCAGTGGAGAACAGCAGCCCCCGCCGCCGGATCAACACGAAAACACCTACTACCGAATTGCTTCAAGGGGACAAACCTTGCAGGTACAGCAATGCTACAGAAGACGCAAACCCGGGGGTGCCAAGAACTCCAGGCAAAAAAAAACTGACACAGGAACAGGTGCTCCATTAAGAAGCCTGCAATAAAACCCATATAGTCTGTTGAGTTATCTTCACGTACCCCACAGGATAATAAGAAATAGGCCCCGAGGAAAACAAGAGGCTATTAGTCACAACCCTTACGTGATATGGCCTATATATTGCTGTATTCAGGTGGACCAACACCGCGTTTCGGCGGCGGCACATTGGTCGTTTCTTTCTCCCCGTCTGGGCCGTCGAAGAAAAACTCGCTCCAACTGCAGTCCATCTTGATCGCTTCCGAACAAGAGATATACATTGATAAAAGTGAGAGAAAAAAATGCAGCAACAATAACGCGACAAGCAACAAACAGGGCGACAAGGAAGAAAAAAAAAAAAATCTCACCCCTCGACGGGTAGATCGTCAACGAAGAACTCGAAGTAGTAACCCTCCTTGATGGCCTCCGACAACTGTCGAAGCTCGTCCGGCGACAGCGGATGCTTGCACAGCCGCATGATCGACATGTCGACACCAAAAGACAGCTTGTAGTCCGTGGACACCTGCATGTTGAGCGGGCCAGAAACAAGCACGCTATCATCACTCAAGAGAAACCCAGCACCCCGAGAAACAGAAGGACTACGGGGAATTTCGACAGACAAAAATCGCAGCTGAGGAGGACCGCGTACAAGCCTGCTCGCTCAGTTCTCAAAAACGAACAAGGGATTTGATCCACACAAGGGCGAGGCAAGCACCCACTACAATACACATCCTACGAATGACTTCGCGTTTCATGCACTTGAAAAAAACGCACATGGTGTCCGACTAAAAAGGCCGAGAAGAGAGCAACGACGAAGTTATGTCGTAATTTCAAACGTTTGTGAAACTACGAACACATGAACAAACACAGCAGCATCCGGTACGCCCGCACCAAGGCCATCAACACCAGCGTCGGTTCTGCCACAAAAAGAAATAAGACGGCCGGCTCGCCTTTCGATCCCCAACAAGCATCTCCCCGAAGCGCTGACGCTCGCGCTCTGAGACCTTGGGCCGGCAGAACGGTAGGGAGTAGTACTTGTACGTCTCCGCTGGGTTGTTGTAGGGGAACACCTGCAACGTCATCGTGTCGTGGTTGTGGCGCCATTAGTGCCGATGCGGCTACATCGATCGTTGTAATGATTCTGCTGGTCATGTGGCCGGTGTATTCTTTACGCGAGCACTGGAATAAATACTCAACACATGTGAGAAATAACATGGTGGTTGTTGGCATTCGAAAACCAAAATGCCACAGCAGTGTAGTGACGCAGAAAAAAGAGACGTGATTGAAACAAACAAAAAAAACGGACAACATTCCCAGAAAGGCAACGCCAATTGTGGCTGTTTTGGGGCACGTCCCACAAAACCTGACAGCACACGGAGCCGCACCACTCTGAGACGCTGACCAAATACGAAGCACCATAACCACCTAGTTCACATGGTAGCTGTCAAGCACAACCCGGCACAATAATCTTGGCCACGGTCCTAGGCCCTACATGAGCATCCGGCGGCGTCACGGTGAGGCCTTGCAGCCTCTCCAACAGACGAGCTCGGCCCGAACACACCCAGATTTCCGACAGCGGAGGGATGTCATTTCTTCGTCACACACAGCATTCCCATCGACTATCCCAGAGATGTGAACACGCCAGTTGCACCCTGCACGGATGCTAGAAAGTACTGACCCGAGATCAGAAATGTTTTTAATGCGAACACAACACCAACGACCTTTAATGCTTGAATGCTTGGACGTTTCTCGGACCAGGCCACTTTTCACCTTACCGTGAAAGCCGTCCCGTCAATCATTTGACGTTTGCGCAATAATTTAGAGATACATAGCATGGAACACGAGGTATCAAACAGAGGTTGATGTGGTTCTTCCGCACATGACGGCGACACCAACTGCTTCCCCCCAACAGTTGCTCCGCACACACACCCCACGCCCACGTCTGCGGTTGTGCCAACGTGAACTGAAAACCTTGTAGTGCAGCTTGTGCAGCAGGCTGAAACTGTAGGGTTTCGTAGTTCGAGCCACATCCAGGGAACAATCGCCCGACATGTATTGATGGACGAAACCAGAAGAGAGCCCTCAGGCTATGCTAGAAGACGAATACAAAGAGTGCTGCCCGAACAGGCATCTGAAACAGCAACCCAACCGCACGACTCAACACAAACAAGAGACCACCAAGGAAACAGCGACGTCGGCGAAAAAATACAATCGCATGCGAAGGACTATTTCCTGTGTTGTCGTCACCCGCCGCGCTGGCAGCGCAGGCGCTCTCGTTTGGCCATCTACCAGAAGTTTTACGCACGCACGTACACGGTACACCACTTTGATTTAGAAAGCGTGTTAGCGATTTTCGTCTCGCTCCAAGACTGACGCATTTCAGTGGTCAGCCGGTTGTAACGCGGTCAATGCTAATTAAGAAAACACACACAAACAGGCGCACATCCGAGGTGCAACAACAGCATCACGAAAGAAGGCTACTGCTTACATTGTTGGCGATCACGGGCACATCGTCCCTGCTTGCGTACGGCTTCGTCGTCGCCTCGCAGGGACCCGCGGCAAACAAGACCGCGGCCACCACCACGGCTACAGCAAAACGCATCAGCGATGAGCCCGCCAGTCCCCCTCCTCGCCCCGCCCCTCGCCGCCCCATCCCCCTGCCTTCAGCGCGGCTTGCTGTGACCACGCGCAGCGGCGACGACGGCCGGCTGCCAGACCTTTTCCGTGTCCCGGCAGAAGACGCGGAACGAGAGACCCCTCGCTCGTCCGATGAATTGGCTAGCGCTGTATGCCGCTCCCTCTCGCGGTTCATCTGCTGACGATCCCCTGCCCCTTGATGACTCTTGCCCCCCCCCTCTATGCGAGCGAGCCCCCCTTTAGTTGTCAGGGCTGCAACACACACACATACACAAACGGCCCAGGCGTGCCAAGCTCAATGCTGTACACGACTTGTACCAGATGCACAAGTAGCGCCACCACCAGCAAGCCCGGTCGGCGAGAGCAGAGCTCCCTCTTCCTCTGGGCTGTTGGTAGTATCTGTCTTTTCGATTCCGCTTCGGGGTGTACGACGTGCGCGGAGGGAGAAGGGGAGGAACTTGAAGCGTCAGCTTTTACGTGCCAAAGAGTCGGACAACATGGGTGCTGTGGTAGTCGGGAGTGGGTTTGGAAGCCTGCGTGTTCGCCAACGCTCTCACAGGCTTCTGATCTTCCGGGAGAATGGTGGTGTTCGACTGCCCCTTTCCTCTTCCCCGCCCGTTGCTTTGGTAACTCGTTTCGTACTAATATATCAAATTTACGTGGAATTATCTCGCCCCGGCCGATGCCCGTGCGCAGGCGCATGACTTTCGGCTAGGAATTACCACTGCTGTATGCCTGTGTGCCGAGGGAGCCGAGGGGCGCCGGCATCGACGGCGACGACGTCTTAGGGGACACAGTTGCGGAGCTCTCCTACGGCTGGAACCCAAAAGTACAGCGATTACAAAGCTACACAAGTAGAGGTACTTGGAGAGGGGAAAAAAAAAATCCCCCCGCCCTTGTGTGGCAGGTGGAACAACAACGTCCTGAACTTGTGTGGCAGGCGGAAAATGCCTGGGGACGGTGAGAAAGCTGGCGGGAAAGCAAACAGCAGCACTTCCTGTGACTACGTTTTTAGTGCGCAGCCATCGGCGAGGGAAAGAGCAATGGTCCCACACGGTCAAGTGCAGCCATGCTGGACAACAACGCATAATGTCCGCTGCAGCAGTAGGCCGAAGCGCTCAAACACAACGTTGTACTGATCTTCGCCAAGAGCTAGGGCACTGGGCCAGCTACGGGGTGCTTACTTTGTGCGTGTCTCGCTCACAGGCGTTGCTACCAAACCACCCCCATCTCCTTCCACCCACACGTACACACATGGGTCAGGGTCGGAAGGAAGGTCTACCGCGGCGGTAAGCGTGAATGTGGCGCCGAGATCTGACAAAGCGACCTCAGACAACCCGGTAGAGAGTCGCTCAGGATCGGTTAAGTTCAACACCATTCCTCCCACTCACCCGTATTGGGCTAGCTCTCTCCACTGTTTGAGACGTGGCTGTGCCCGCTGCCGCCGGGGGTGTGACCGCCGGCATAGGAGGGGGACACAAGCTGCGGAAGAGAGAAAATGGGGGTTCGCAGAAAGGAGTTGGGGTACATAGGTATAGGCAGAGCTGGCAGGGGAGCGGAGAGTTCAGCACTCGAGCACAAGCAAGAACAGCAGCGTTCATTTCATCGTACACAAACACCTGTGAGGTGACGAGGATAGAGCGATGAAGTTCACAGCGGGAAGCAGCGGGTTGGTGCTTGGGTTGGTAGGCTGCTCTCAGGCCTTCGTAACTCCCCCCGTCACAGGTGAAATTCTTTCATGAAAATGAGCCTCTACGACGGCGTCATGCAACAGCCAACCTTACGCTGAGAGTCTTCTTTTGACACGAGAGAGCTAGACCATGATGTCGCCGTACTTGTTCATGTATCGGGAGTCCCATCATTGGAATGTTCTCTGCCCGAGGATTGGAAACGCCTCGTGCCAGCATCGGAAGGGTCGAAGCCGTACTGCTGTAGAGTTCCCCCCGCGGTCTCAGAACAAGGCCGCTGGTTCCCAGCAGGCATACGCACTGCTGCACATGAACCCGCTGTTGGCCGGTTGAAGAGAATCCGCGAGGCGCTGGCCGTTCTCACTTTTCACCGCTGCCAAGCAGCATTGACAGTGTGGTCGTAGTTGTCTGCCACCGTACGTAGGGTTCTGTGCCAGCGCTGGACGTGATGAGCATGATCTCTCTCCGCTGACTGGGTCACGAAAAACGCACGTGCATTGAAGCTTGAAGGGCAACTTGCACCGCGGGCAGTAAGTAGCCTGCAGTGCTGACGAGACACAGGGAGGGAGGGGCCAAGCACCCACATTCAAAGCAGCGGGTCGTTAATGAGATAGACATTATTGGAACTGAGATCGATTACCCCGTTTGATTAGGGTCTAGCCAAGCGTTAGGTAGCAGTCGTTTTGCTTTCGTATTCTGGGAGAGGGGGTGTTGCCCGACATGCAAGATTCAACAGCAGTCCGCCATTCGCCGTTAGCCTCTGTACACACAAAGTGAGCAAAGATTGCGACGACCGCTGTGCTTTGTGGGAAGATGTCGAGGCATAAACTCTCCTTCTTACCAATGTGTCGTATTTGCCTCGTGCATACGCAGGGAAAACAAAATGCATCACCGGGGAAAGGATGAAAGGACTGTGTTGGCGAAACAGAGCAGTTCGTTTATGTTGTCTGTTGTTCTCCTGTGTGCATGTTATCCCCGGGTTCGTCGATTGTCTCCCGGGTTTGAAACAAGCTAGCATGTCCCGTTTTGATTTGTGGGAGTTGTATCCGTTGGGGGGCAGTTGGCCTGTGACCACGGAAGGCGTCCGTGCGAGCTAGACTGGTACGATGTTAGGAGGTACGGAGTACTGACCAATGACCGAGGACGGTCTTATTGGTAAAACAACATCAACAACAATCGCAACCCAAGACGTGTATCGCAGAACCCCGTCTGTCTGAAGGCATCCTCGAAATCTTTGGATGAAGGCGTGACACCGAAACAGATCATCCTCACATCGGCCGCTTTTTCGCGTCAATGCCTACTACAACGGTTGTGAACAAAAACACCCAACTGTCTGGTTGTGCTGCGCGAACACCAAAATGTTGTTTTATCTGCGGCATCCTACGCTTCCACACACCACATGAGGCCTAATACGTTGGGGTGTTGTTGATTGCGAGGGGCTTTGGCAAGGCACAACTGAAAGCCTCTTTCTCCAGCTGCACCGAGAAGGCTTGTTTTTTGTTGTCTTACGGAAACGGTATCAATTCGTCTCTACCCACGTACATTTCGAAAGTATTGGATCAATGTCGCAGCAAGCAACTTTCTCAACTGTGGTGACACTGCTGTCTGTCGTTGAGGAACTCGACCGTGGGACCAAGCGATTTCATTCGTAGTTGGGCACGTGAGATTGATTCCTTCACGCAGGGATGGTCACCTACATACATGTCGGTCTAGTGGGTAGCCTCGCAGCCTGCAAAGGGCTAGGCCATGGGTTCGAGTCCCGACAGAGTGAGTTTTTTCTCGCTTATTATATCCTGGTCTCCGTTGGGAGCGACGCGCTGCAAAGCTCGTTGTTGTTAAGCTTGATCGACCTCGAGGGAAGGGATTGCTGTACCCTTCTCGCGTTAAAAATATCTCAGGCAGGAACCGCAGGAGGGGGTCCAACCCCCCCCTCCTATGTGACCCCGGTTGGGTCGTCTAGCTGGTAAAAGTGGAGGATAGGGGCCGGAGGGGCAGCCTACAGAGTCGAATGATGGAAGAAAAACAAATAATAACTACAGCAGTATTTATTTATATCCCGGGAGAAATGCTCGAAAATGACCAACGACTGCTGTGATAGAACGACCGAACACCCTGGCAGACTACTGCACCGAATGGTGGCGTAAGAAGCGCTGAAGTCCATTGTGGAACTAAGTCTATGGCTACCGGAAGACGCCGTCCTCGTTTGTGTGTGAACCATCATTGTGGTCCATTTCCCGGCTCGTTGGGGAAGCGTTTGTGTGCACGGAGGCAAGGTCGTGTTGCCCCCACGCCGTGAACCCGCAGGCGAAGCGACCACCGAGCTGGCTATTGGTCCCACCAGCCGATGCCAGCAGTTTTTTTATGCACACGTAGTATCCGGCAGCTTCTACGGCCGTCGGCCTGACTTTAGGAGCTACTGTTGAGCACCACCGTGCCCGAGCCTCTCTGTCTGTCTCAGAGCAAGGGGCCCTGTATTGACGATGCTATGCATACAACAGTGGAAAAAGAAGCTAGCGCCCGACGGCTATTCAATATCTTCAATCAAGCAGCAGCCCGCAGATGGCCTACGACCTTGTAGTTGAACAGCAACCTCCGGCGTTTTCAGCCTATTCGTTTAGCAGTCGGATTAATGTTCGTCTCTGCGTGTTCTTTCCTTTCCCACCCTGCTTTATGTGAGTGAATCCTTTAACCCGCCCATTGTTGCTATACCCGTCAACCTCCGCGCCTCTTCTACGCGGCACGGTGGCAGGTCTTGGCGGACGGGTTTACGCAGGGCGTTCGGCGGCGTCTGTGTCCGGGCCTCGCATGATGTTGCCGATGGCGCCCTTCGCGGGTGAGGGTGGCATGCTTTTTTTGTTGCGGCATCGGTGCGTGATAGGCTAGAGGAGCTGTGCAACTGTGGCGTGAGAGTGTTACTGCTGTTGCGCGACCTGTTGCGCAAACACGTGTTTTGCTCCACAAGCTCCGTTGTTGTTTGCCCCATCGCTGCCTCTGTAGCTCTTGTCAGGGGTGTTGTTGCGAGCCCGTGTTGTCATTGCTGACTTCGTATCACAGCATTGTTGTCTGTCCGGCGTCAGAGACCCAACTCCTCTGTTTGTACATGTGTACCCGTGGAACTCGCACATTCAGCACGAAAAGATGACTGGCGTGAGGTGGTTAGACGCGCAGCCACAGGTGGACCGAAACACGCGAATATTTGTTTAGAGGGACACCGACAACGGACGAGTGCCGATAAGGTAGAGGGTTGAACACATTCACCGAATGAAAATCGCTGCCGATAGCGACGAAGACCCAGTCAAAAGGAAGGTTGAGCCAGGCGAGCACTGCACCGTGGAAGACGTCTTGTAACCGATCCCCCGCAAAAACAAGAACTCTCAGCAACACTCCCCGTGCGTCATGTTGCGTGCAGGGGCCGCCGTGGCCCACCTGATCGGATCGAACCCGATCAACCCGGAGCACCTGGTTTCTGCCAAGTCGCAGCCCACCCACCTCGTGGCCTACAAGGAGACGCGGGAGGGGCTGTACGGTCCCTACGAGGTGGAGGTGCAGGAGCGAGCACCGGAGGTGAGAAGGAGAGAGGGGAAGGGAACCGATGACCGCGAGGTTGTTACCCCATGCCTGACACAACGTGTTTCTACCCGAAGAAATTTCCAGACCTTATTTGGAATCTTCAAACAACAGAACGCAGGCAATACCTGCGGGTGTGTGTTTGTGGAATTTCCACAGGTTCACTTGGTCTCTGGCGGAATCGCCCCCCACCCCATTCCCACTCTGTTTTGCAATATTGTGACCTTTGGGATGTTCCACGTGTGTTTCCGGACGGTCCTTATCTTTTGAGTTTTGTGTCCAGGCTAAAGCGCACCCGCTTCCTTTTCCGTGTTGTTTTTTTTTGCCGACCTGCCCGTACGCTACTCTTCCGAAATCCCTTCATCGAATTAGTCGCCCCCACCCCCACTCGCTTGTGCCGAGAGAGAAGAACAGAATCTAAGGAAAGAAACCAAGGAAAGGAGGGTCTAGAAGTGTACGGAATGTTGAAGGAAGGAATAGGGTTCAAGGATTACCTACATGGACCAATGGATGCAGGAACAAAGCTTAAGGTCAAACTCAGGACCGGGGACATAGGCCTTCGAGAACGTCGACGAAGACACAGGACGGTAGACGACGAAGACGACGAGTTCAAATGTGATTGCGGCTTCGAATGCGAAGACCGTGTTCATGTAGTCGCGGAATGTCCGTTGTACAAGAAGGAGAGGGAAGTGTACGTGACTGAGCTGGGAAAAATAGATGGAACGTACAGGGAGATGTTTGAGGCATGGAATAGAGAGGAAAGGACGGTAGCTGTACTGGGGCATAGGAGGTGGGTTGAAAAGGCGGGAAGGGATATCGTTAGGATAGACTAGGGAAGACATTTTTGAGCCACCTTTGGCAAAGTAGAAAGGAACGATTGGCCATCGGTGATCGGTCCTGTGGGAACAATGCTCCGTCCCCTCGAGGACGCGTGGTCAATGGTCTAACCGCTAAGGCATGCAAAACATTAGAGTACGCTCCCCCACCCCACTCGGCATGCTGCTATATTTTCTTCGTTGCGACTCGCGTTCACTTTTGGAATGGACACAGGTGTAGATCATGACAGCAATAAAAAAAAAAACGCTCCACCCGCGCCGTGTCCGGAGACCGGTGCCAACTCCGGAAATTTGGACTCAACTCGACATTGCGGTCGTCGTGTCTTCACCTACATAGGAAATCGACGCATCAGCGTCCAATCTACCCGCCCAGGTGTTGAACAACCAGGCCAACAAATTCGACCTGGTTGTTCAATACCTAGGGGGGAAGACTAGGCTCTGATGCGCGTATTTCTTAGGTGAAGACACGACGACCGTAGTGTTGCGCTGTGTCCAAATGTTCGGAGTTGGGCGCCAGTCTCTGGACACGGTGCGGTTGGAGCGCTTCGTTTGATATTTGTCCATGGTCCTACACCTGTTTCCATTTATGAGTCGACGCTCGAATGTTATTTAAAACCCGTCGTCGTCTTGCTCTATTTGACAACAACACTATCGTCACCTTTTTTTTTTGTCCATGGTGTCGCTCGTCGTCACCGGTCCCGTATGTTATCACCAGACGGACTTCGGAATCAGCACGTTTAAGAAGAAGGAGGAGACGGAGGAGGGGCGAGACAAGTATACTTCGGTTCTAGCGGTGCTGCTGGCCGGCTCTTTCGTGATCCCAATGGTGCAGTACTGGTGGTACATCCGCGATGACGACCGTGAAATCCGTTAGGCCAAGGAAGGAGCAGCGGGCGGCACGTGGGGCCATGGAGTAACTCCAACACAAAATAACCGTAATGTATGTCGTCTGTAAGGCAGTTTCGTGTTGGAACGTCTTGTCTCAGTGGAGCCTTGTACAGAGCACCGCAGTAGTAGCGGCCGTCTACTCCTGTTTGGGCTCAGACCGGGTGTGATCCTTTGGTGGAGAAATTAAACAGGAGACGGAGATGAAGAATGAGGAGAGATACGGACAGTGGGGAGGGCAACAAAATGTCGCCCCGTTCTCTCCATGCACATGGGGTCGGCGTAGCGGGTGCATAGTACAGCAGAGAAGCGGGCGACATGTCAGCGTCGCTTGCTTCTTACTAGAGTCCATCGATAACCCCGTTTGTGCACCCCGGTGTGGCCGCATGCGCTCGAAAGCGCCGAAAGTGCTCGTGAACTGGTTGGAGGTGTTGCAGGGGGAGGCCCCCGCTCGCCGTGTTTCGGGGGAAGGGTAGTAGCGAGAGCTGCCGAGACGGCGGATAGTTCGCGCGTTCCTGTTGTCTCCTCGTTTTCCTTTTTTGTTTCTTCTAAGAACGTGGGGGGGGGTGCCATAGAGGTCCCCGAACACGGTGTGATCCATCGCCTTGTGGAGGTAGCGCATCGACGCGATCGAGAGAAAGGCAAACATCCGCCAAAACCCGAAATGCATGGTGCGTGCATGCTCAGTCTGGATGTGATGTGAATGGGTGGGACGTTTTTTTCGGATCGTGATGGAAGTCTTGATGAAAAGGAATTGCCTCGCGGGGGGGGGGGGGGCTTGCCCTCGCCCCCGTCAGCGCTCACGCGGGAAAGACACGCCGGAAGAGAAAAATAGAAGCAACGAGTGAAAAAAAAAACTTCTCGAAGGGGACGATCATGATGGCGGCAGCCTCTGCACATTCCTCCAAGAGCCCGTCACGGTCTCTAGAGGTCTCACAGAAAGGGAAAAAATAATGTGAATGAATGTCGTCGTTCACTCCGAAGCTTCGAACCACGCGCTTGTTTGACGCGAACGCCCCAGGCGCCAGGAATCAGACCAATCATATGTCCTGATGTACTGTTAGACGCCGTCAGCAAGTTTCATCTTGATTGGCGCCCCTCTCGTCAACGGTTGGCAATGTCGGTTAAATAACAGGATCACATCTGACCTGAACCCAACGTTGTCTATTTGCTTAGCTGAATGACTGCTGTGTCCTCCTTACTGGAGACCGTTCCGAGGAAATCGTGACTGCTGGGATGTTCGTAATGTTTTTTGTCCTAGACCCAACCAAACGAGGTTTCGTTTTCCGATGATCCCTCCTCACACACCGAAGCAACAGCATTAACGAAAACACCCGCCACGAGCGGTGTGTATGGCTCCCTTCCCTCGCCAGTCTTTCGTCCTCCTGGAGATGACGGGAAAAAAGGGTCGCGCATCGCGCTCCGCAGCTCATTACTACCTCTCGAGTCAAACACTTGCACCGGTTGAAGGCGCATTGCGATAGTACAAAAGTGATTGTGTCCCCCCATCTCCCTCCTCGCCCCTTCCCTCTCTCCCATCTGCCCTTTCGACCGTCGGATCTTTGATCTGACAAACGCGGCGCAATCCTACCCAACATGTTCCCCCTCGGGTATTTCACTTGTTCCGCCGCGAGGGTGTGTGCGGGCGTTCGCCGTTCGTTTATGCGGTGTTGCACGAACAGCCCACGCACTTCATGCCAACACTGCTGCCTGCAATGAAGAGTTATAGCGTCTGTATATGAAAAGGCGATGGGAAGGCCGTCTTCATATTCCCGACGGCGTCGTCGGCGCCATGCACCGGTTCACGAGGTGCGCAGCGGAGAACTGTACTGCTGTACAGGACACAAAACATTTTATGCATCTGCAGCATGATGCAGTCTCGGTGATTTCAAGTGTGTTCAGCATTACAAGTTGGACACACATAGACTTTTCTCATGAACACTATGTTTGTATACCATATGAATCGTTGTCAGTGTGACATGGCGCCAAGGCGTTCTTAGGTATTGATCAGTCACACAGAGGCCTGTAGGATTACAGGAGGTCGAACTGCCTCTGGAGTACATCGTGGGGTTTGTTGGTGATACTACTGCTGTAGTTGTTGATGTTGCTGTTCTCTGGAATTGGAAAGGGTTCTGACCAACGTGCAATATCACCTCTTCCCTACCCTTCAAAACAAGCAAACAAGTTCCAAGTGTGGTCGGTGACGAATGAATCAAGATTACACATCGGATAGACTCTGGAGCTGAACCTCCACACGGCTTCGTGAGTGCGTAATCTAGAATTGGAACGAACCGAAGATCCCATTATTATGTACTCCAGAACGATGTGGCTTGGCAAGATGACCACATGGATATCATGAGACTGTAATGTCTTGCCACTAATGATTGTTCAGAGAGCATATGTAATCTCCATGGTTGGGTTAGTCCATGGAGCACGCAGACCACAGTTTGCATAGAACATTTTCGCCCAAGCATGCACCTACTGCCGTAACATTCACCTGTCTTTTGCATCATTGCATGGTGCATGTACATTGCTGGCCAGCAATGGCAACCATTCTGCATTATATATATATATATATATCTGTCATTCATCATGACGTACCTGCCATCCCTGCGGACACAACTAAGTTCGACAACTGTTCCACAAACATCAAGCTGTTCACAGAGACAGCATGTTTCGAGGTTGCCCCCCGCCACAACGACAGCAAAGGAGACGACACGTACTATCACTCATGGCAAGCATTTGCGCTAAAGCTTAAGCAGGGTAGGATCAGTAATATTCGAGATATCTTCTTCTTCTTCCTTCTCGCCCCTTCTCAAAATCTTCTTTCTTCTGCACCCATGTTTTCTTCAACGATTTTCGAACGTAGCATGGGCAACCTAGGCCGCCCGCGAACTTTCTCGAGTTCGAAGGGGTCGACGCCGAACGAACGCGGCGCTTTTCTGCAGGAGATATTTTCGGCAGCCGAGCAACCGCTTCGCGCCTCTCCTACTCCGCGGCTGAATGGGGCCCGCTCGGAACGCGAAGCGCGAGAAGAGTAGTCCCCTCGGTGGGGAACGAGTTTCCACCGTGGTGAGCGAGAAACATCCCACCGCTGCCAGTAACGTTGTTGACTCATGGTGGTTCGGTCGTGAGACATTGGTTTGCTGCGCCCGTGTCACGCGTTGTCTCCCGTTTTCTTCTCTTGGCTTTTGATGCTGTTAGGCTACACGTATTTCACAGCCACTGCAGGTCTTCATCGTACCACCAGCAGCAGCGGCGGCGGCGGCGGTGCGCTTCCCGCCCCCAACGTGAAGCAAGAGGGCGACCGTTCACATATCTTGCCATCCCGCATGACCAGTAGCACAGCTAGATCGACAAGCGCTATTGTTTGTACGTGCCGCCTTTTGCGGCTAGAAATAATGACATAGCAACAACAATTGGCCGGGGCAATAATTTGTATGCTCTGGAGCTGCCAACCCCTTTCTGCTGCCTTGCCTTTCACCGAAAAAAAGGAGCGACAACAGCCATCGCAAGTACGACGATGACAACGAAAGCAAGAACAACAACAACAGCAACATCAGTCCGAGTAGGGAAGAAGTACACAGACACACAGACGAGCAAGCAAATACCACACCACGAGAGCCCCGCCGGTCGCCCGGTGATCAAGGCCTGGCCCTTCTCCGCGAACACCCCCCCGCTGCACAGCAAGATGAGCCGGGAACCCCGCCCCCTACGGTCCCCTACGACATGCTCGCATGTGATGGGCGGAAGATCGATTCTCCCCCTTCCATCCTCTCCCCCTGTTCGGGACAACGGCGACGCCGGGCCTCATGGCCCGGACCGAGGGGCTCCCGTCGGCGGGATAATGAACAGCCCAGGTGCGAGGACTGATTGGGAGCGCCGCCTATGCAGCGAGAGCGGTATCACTGTCCATAACAGGGCCATGTCATGGCGAAGGGAGTGAAACACGGGTGTTCGGCTAGTACGTAAGGTTTCGTGCCCGGAATTGGACCGGTTGGCCATCGCTGGCCTCTTGAGCACAAGTCGACAGTAGCTCTAGCAAGAAATCAATCGCTCCCCGTGGTTGGACTCATCCGTATTGTATGAAGCGACGCCGAGGTGTGAAGGGAACGAAACACGAGGGAAGTGGCAACAGCTCACAGCGGTGGCCCCGCTGCTAAGTTGGCTAGCGCCACGCCCCTACGGAGCCGTAATAGTGCAATGATTTGACCACATTGCGTCCACCTTTCCACCGCACGCACCCGCGCTTGCTGCTAAAATGTAATCAGCGAGTGCCACAAAGCTTCACCTCGGGCAGCGTCGGTTCCCCCCTCGCTGCAGCTGCGATGGGAGAGGCAGGGCGTGTCAGGACGAACCTACCAAAACGATGGGAATCCGTCTCTCTACCGCAAGAAGGTGAATAGCGTGCTTCGCTAGTGCTATCATCGTTTTCTCTGTTCTGGTTGTTGTTGTGGGCGGTAGCGTGGGTTTGATCGGTGGTGGGGTAACGTCGCCATTGGTCTTTACCTTGGCCTAATAGCGTAGTGGCGTGTGAAAGTATGCCGCGCCCCAACCGGCAGCTGTCAAATCCCGTTCGTGCTTCTCTCAACGAGAGCCTATAGGCAATCGTTGCGTTGGAAAAGGGGTTCAGAGGAAAAACGCGCCGGTGGCGGTTATAGGCCTTCCAGTGGCACATTACCCCAACGAGAAGCTGCCGAGATCAACTTGTAGACTGCATCTGACTGTGGGCTGTGGTCTCAACCATCCTTACTTGACGACCGAATGCGATAGACGGAGAGCTGGCTCAAACGTATGCCAGTCTTCACAGCTGGCGATCGCTCTAGGTGAACACCATCGTGTTCTGCCAATCCCGTAACCACGCACCCGTGCTTCTCGTCCTGGGAAACAAATTGACGCGTGCACGTGTCGTTCGCAACCTCTGACCAGAAAATGGCCGCGCGTAGAAGGCTTTCCAAGCATGAAGGCATTCGTGCGGCAATCGAGCGGGGATGGTGGCCGTACCTTCCTCTGCGCTGGGTAATACTGAACGACCAGCATGTCTTGAAGGTGAAAAGCTGGTACAGGTTAGTGGAAGGGTGGGGGGGGCGAGGGGATGAGATACAACAGCTTGTTTTTGGAATCTCACTCCGACAGAGTGCAAGGATGAAAAAAATGCGAACAAATTTCAAACGGAGGCCTCAGAACCGAGTCGAACTACATGGTGGACGAAGGTACAATATTGTTGACATGGTTCATTTTTAATCATCTCAGTTCGGTGGAGGTACCAAGCATCTGTCTGAAGGCAACCAACAAGGGCGGCATTGATGTAGATACCGTCGAAAGAGCCTCCCCTCCCCCCAGTGCGTGGTCTGCACTCTCCACTGGAAGTAACCACCCGTGGACAAGCTGGAAACTCGCCAGAAAGATGACCGATTCACGTTAAAACTGTTCTATGGTTCTTGGATGACGAGTTGACGGACACGAAAATATTCGCCTTTTCACCAAGCCGTTCCGTTCGCAATTGGAGTGACGATGTAGAAGGACGTGTAGAGATCCATCCCGATTTTGTAGTGATGAGTCACCAACGCGTGCGTGAGTATCGTCTTGCCAATCAGACATGGAAACGAGTCGAAATGCCATTTACGTTATCAATTAATAGACGAAACGAATCAGTCCGCGATGCGACGAACGTCTTCCGCGTCACTGCCGCCAACATCTCACCGGCCGTACCGCTCCGCAGATCCTTCCAAGGCAGGGGTACATGCTCCTTTTCACCGCCATGTACATGACCCTCGTGCCAACGGCTGACGAGGCAGAGGCGAAGGAGACCGCGCGCTGGGAGTACGGCGAGGACGCGAAGGGGCTGCCCCAGGACCTCGGGCGGGCGGGAATCACGCTGGGGGCGTTCTCGAATGCCCTCTTTGCCGTTGCGGACAACGTAAGAGAGTGTCTTCAGGCAGAGTCATTCCCTACGAAATTTCAGTGAAAGAAGGCAGAAATGACACGTGACCTGCAGTGGTCGCGAAAACAGGAGGAAACAACTGTACAGGCAAAGATTGATTTATTGTTTTATCTTTACTTCAAATCAGCGCTCACAGCACTAGTGCCGTTTACTCCAACCCGTGGTCACACAGAAGGACCCCTCACTACCCTCCCCTCCTGCGGTACGTTGCCTTCGATTTTTAATGCGAGAAGAGCTCAGCACTCTCTTCCCTCTGTGTACATACGAACTAGTGCTATCCACTAGGCTAGGAGCGAAAGCGAGAGAAAAACTTACTTTGCAAGAAAAGCTCGCTTTTGCCGGGATTCGAGCCCCTGGCCTGACCTCTAGAAGGTGCCGAGGATACCAACTAGACCACCGGGGCGACCGGTCGGCGAAGTAAAAATGACAAATATTGATGGACGGCTGAGGGGAGCCTTGCCAGCGCTCTTTTACGTCGCTGAAGAACACGTTTGACCGTGCTCTGTGCTACATCAATGACTGAAAAATACCGGCACGGTTTCACTGTGTACGGACCTAGACGGCAAAGGAAGTTCCTACACAAAAACAAGCACTCGACCAGCTCCATTTCGTATCGATGTCGACCGGTTGATGGTGGGACGGCACAGGTGAATGAAACTACACTGGCAAATTCACGGTTGTGTCGTTGTTACGCTAGGCGTTCAACTTGTTCCGTTCTGTGCCCAGCCTAAGAGTGTCTGCACAAGTTCATACGCGCACGTCCTCCCCCCTCGGTCGACCAAAAAACATTTGCACAGTGGACCGAGACGGTGCGATCCAAGGACTACATCGAGTTCCTGTGCCTGCTCTGGGAGCGCGTGAGGCCGGACGTCCTCTTCCGGCCGCTTCCCCTTAAGCCAGAGAGCGACGATCCCCCCTCGGCTCCGCCCCAACACAAGGGCAATCACACAGCCGCTGCTGCAAAGAAGATCGGTAGGAGAAACCAGAAGGCGCGGAGGAAGAACTGGGGAAACGACGGGGACGACGATAACTCCCGCCTTCACGAGAAGAGCCCGAAGGCGGCGAACGTGTTGGGCATTGGTGACGAGAGATGGCGTGGAGGAGGAGGAGGAGGAGGAGGAGAGGGGAGAGAAGGCGAAGCGCTGGACGACGACCGCCGCGCCCCTCCCACCCGTCTTCCGCCGCCGCAGACACCCGACGGCTTGCAGCAGCTGCGCATCCCGGGGTTTCGACCAAAGGAAGCGCAGCGTGCTGCGTGGGTTCGGTACAAGCAACGCCGCATCGTCGATCCCGGCCGGGGAATTCTGTTGACTCCGGAGGGGATGGACGGTGCGCGCGGCATTCACCGCGGCGGGGGGAAGGGGGAGAACAGCGGTGGAGCAAAGGAAAACCAGCGGCAACAGCAGCAGAAACCGGAGACGGAAGAGCAAAACAGGAAGAAAATGGGACGGCGGCGGACGCGAGTGACTGGCATTCTGAAGGAGGCGGATCGTCAGCGCGATGTTAGGACTGGTGGGGGGGGGGGATACCGTCCGAAGGAGGAGGAGGTGGAGGTGGAAATGGAAAAGATGGAGAGCATCTGGGATTTCATAACCAGGANGTTAGGACTGGGGGGGGGGGGGGATACCGTCCGAAGGAGGAGGAGGTGGAGGTGGAAATGGAAAAGATGGAGAGCATCTGGGATTTCATAACCAGGAACATTCCGGTGAACTCTCGAGAGGTGCGGGGGACGAGAATGTGCCGACCAGTTTGCACGAATATGAACCTTTGCCACCATCCCACACCCACTGATAAAATTACCACAACCATCGTTGGGATAAACACACATCCAATTTTTCGCACGCACGCAAACCGCCCCACAAAGCCCCCACCCCCACCTCGGCCCCGCTTCTCCGTGCTCCACGTCTGCTGGCTGGACATCAGCCCTTGTCGCAACAGAGGGACGCCTTCATCCTCTTCGTGGAGCGGAAGCGGCCCGACCTCTTGGACAACAACAACAACATCAACAACAAAAATTACGGCAGGAACTCGGATGTCGGTGCGGGTGACCAGACAAAGCTCGCGCTTGGCCGTCCCAACTCCTCCCCCAGCCCGAAACGTCCCGCTGCTAGCGGCGGCGGCGGCGGCGGCGGCGGCGGCGGCGGTGGAAGGGTGGCTGCACCACCCACCACCGCCGCCGTCGTCCGGCGCTACCGCACCCAAGAGGCCACCTGGGAGAGGGCGCGTCGCCAAACCGTCCCCGCGAGAGCCTTGGGGGAGTTGCTGGAGGCGTGGAGGTCGGGCCAAGAGGGGATGACGCCGGCGGAATACGGGGCGGCCTTCATCGGCCCTCTGCAGGCGAGAGACCGCGGGGCGGCGGCGTGGTTGATGAGGGGGCGCGTGTGTACATTTTGTGTTGCGACTTTTCATCTACAAGAATTTTTTTGGAAAGAAAGTATTGTTTGCATGGTTCGGACCGAACCGAAGGATACCTTTTGTGGGAGATTAGCTCCCGGTGTGGGCTCGGAGAACACAAAACACGTACAGTCGTGGAGTTGGGGGAGCGTTGCGGTGGGTTTACCATGGATGCTTGCGGGTGGTCACACACGCGGGACACAGCTACGGGGGCGCTACGACGTTTTTTGGTGTTGCTGCCAAATCGAATGAACCAGGCGTGCGACGGAAAGAATGCGTTGACTGGGCGATCTACCACCGTTCGGATGGGTTGTGGACGACGAACCAGCGAATCCGATTTATTGCTACCCTCCATAGAGGAATACTGCTTTGTCAAGTCTCTGCGCCGCACCCAGTTGTCTAACTTTGAGCTTCCGCTCATTCGAATTGCCGTCCCAATCTCACGCACCGCACACCATGTCGACACCCCAAGCGCGCCAGCTTTTTAGCGTACGCCATCGCCAACGGCTGGGGCACAAGGGCCGGAGGTTGCCACTCGCAGCAAACCCTGGATGGCGTCGCGGCGGAGTGGAGGCGCGGGAGGGGTCGCTGTCCCGAGGTGCCGTGGTTGCCATTGCCATTGTTGTGCTTCTGTTTCTGATCTCCCTTTCCCTCTTGCAGCTGCAGCCGTCCACTGCGTTACCGTTGGCGCATAGTTCGGGGTGTAGGGTAGGGCGATCGCGGCTGGTGCAGTCACGTTCGGAGTTGGGCATTTTTGGGCGCATCTATCCCTTACACCCTCAACGAACCTGATATTCTGGCGTGCAAGAGCACCTTCGCACGGTGTTCCAAGCATGTTGAACCGGTGTGAGTTTCCTCCAGCAACATCAACGGGCAGGGCTGCGAATCGCACCGGTAGGGTCGTCCACAAGCACCAAGCGAAATCCCCAGGCTCAATCAAAGCCCGTGACACTCCGAAACATCTTCATGCTGTCACACGCTACCCTTAAGCGCCGCCCTTCGGACCGCGATCTTCGGGTTTGGGACCGCAAAACATCGCATCGCCCGTGACGGTCGTCAAAAGAGCCTTCCGTGGAGATAATTGTCACTTCGTTTCATTCCACCCCACAAACATGCTTCCTGCGCACTCTAGACATGAAGGCAGGCGATCAGTCTCGCCGACATATCCTAGCTGTAGACTTCGCCCTGGCCTAAACCTCGTTCCTGTTGGTACAGTCTCTCGCGAACGAAATGCCCTTGGGGTTCTACAAGCGCGCACGGGCGGTGACTCTCACTCTCCTCCCGCCCAAAACGCACACAACTAAAAAACAGATGGACGCCCTGTGGGAGGTTCTGCGAGATCTTCTCTGGGATGAGGCAGAAGACGCTATCGACGAGGCCCTCAGGTACAACACAGCTGTAGCCCCCGTGATCCGAATAACAATTTACACCCAAACCTGAAGTCCTCAAGTGATTGGGTAGCTCCTAGTGGCTTCGAACAGCACCACCTTATTCTATCCTAGTCTATGCATGGCTAACGTTTTTCGGAACGCCTGTTAACAAGCGTCCTCGACCAGCGCATCGCGGGCGGCTCCAGATTGACTGTTGATGGGGAGAAACCGAGTGAAATGAAAGAACTTCTACCAGGGGCATGTTAGGCATGTTAAGTTGAGTCCCGGTGTCAACGTCGTGTCGGTTGAAAATGCGCGGCCTAATTGTTTTGTTCCTGTTCCTACTGCCTTAACCCGCCACAAAATTTTCAAGCGTTGGTCTCGACAACTACCCTTAACCCCTGTGTCATGGGGTGTTGACATGGACGCCGTTGCAATACGAGGCCTTCCAGGGTCGCAATTTTTTCTATTTCCTGGCCCCCTGTGAATGCTCATCCTACAACGCCGGCAAATCCTAAAACAAGAGGGAGGTCGATGGCCGGTAGTATTGTTGCCCTCTTTGTCTCCCTCCTTTCACAACCTTTCCGCACGAGATGCGGCACGAGGTAAGCCCCCTGCCCCCCCCCCCTTGTCGCACTACACTGCCTCTGTTCATGCTTCCGGAAACGCACGGGTTGGTTGCTTGGGTGTGTGTTGTTTTTTCAGCGACGGTGTCGACCTGTACAGCATCCCCCACCGCCTTCTCCACGACCCGCCGAGAGGGCGACAAGGCCACAGGAGCAGTAGCAGCAGCATCAGAAGCATCAGAAGAAGCAGCACCCGCCCGGTGCTGCCGTCGCCACGGCAGCGCGGTGATTACGACCACCAGCAACGCCATCGTCGTGCTTCCACGGCCCCGGCGTCAACAGACGGCGCTGCGGCCGTGGAATTTGATGGCGGGGGTGTTGATGGCGGGGACAACGGTTTCGACAGACATGGAGGCGGGAAAGGTCCCGAGGGAAGAGTGCTGCTGCAGGGAGAGAGGGTTGCCGGCTCCGTGCGGCAAGGGCAGGTGACGTGAAGTGCTTCTTGCGTTTGTTTGGTGTCATCGTGCCAAGTCCCGTCCCGACGACCACCCCATCGGCGCTGTTCGTTCACCCATTGTGGTTGACTTCCAATTGGAGAGAGGAGAAAGAGGCCAAGCAGCCACTTCGTCCTGACCGTCGCAGAATGACCCAGAAACGAATGAAAGTACATGACTCTTTCTCGTTTTGTCTCGTTGTTTATTCTGGGAATGGCCAGATTCTCGGTTCACCATGGACAAAAACAGTGAACAACCACTTTTTATGAGCACTTGCTGCTAACTCACAAGCGCTGCGGTGTGTGTCATCCCTTCGACTGGAAAAATATCCACCACGAATATAATTTGAATGACTGGTGGTACTTCAAAGGGTCCTCCTTCCAGTTGGGCGACTGCTGCTTTGCGTCGTCGCCCCTTCCATTTAGATTTTGGCTGGGTTGAAGACGGTGGCCCTACTTCGGCAGAGACAGCTTGGCTTCGTTCCCGCCGAAAGATGAAACAATCAGAGTTACGAGGCAGCGTACCTGAACCCCAACGTGCCAGAGTGCTACGAGCAAGACTTTCCATGAACAAAACTAGCGCCGCACGTCTCTGAGCCCCCCACCCCCCCACAGCCTCCTGTGCCTCGATTCCGCTCATCTGTCGGGGTTGCTTTCATCAGCCGACTGTCGCTATCGTCAGCGTTGTCAGACATGCCACTCCAGCTTCTCACCAACCCCCCAAACTCCCGCCCCTGCTTCAGGCCGCTTTCTACCAGACCCCATGTCCTACAGAGAGGGGAGCGTGCCTCGAAATCACCCTCGAGTCCCATGACACCGGATCGAGGGCACGGGGGCGAAGCAACGACAACGGCATACCGACCGCCATCAGCCTTTACGCCGTCCAAGCCCCGCACCGGCCACTGCGCCTGTCGTTCTACACCTGGGTTTCCCGCGGAAAAACCCACCACCGCCTTCTGCTCAACTGGAAGGGCCCCGCCGCTGGATTGAAGGGGGGCGACGAGGGAACTCTATCCCCTGCCCCGTCCCCGCCCCGCACGGGCAAACTCATTTCGTCACCATGGGATGGAGTAAGGGGATACACGTCCCCCCGCCCCGCCACGGCATCCGCCTCCAAGCCATGGAAGCCCGTGCCACCGGCCCCGATTCACATCGCGGTAGTTTGCCCCGAGCCTCCACCGCCGCCGTCCCCGCTAGCCCCTGCTTTCGACGGCAGCGGCATCGGTATCCTCGCAGCCCCGGACCAAGCCGATGAAACGCTCGACGATCGAGGTATTTTCGGGGGCGATCTTCAGGAGCCCGCGCGGGTAGTGGATGGTGCTACCACGGGGTCCGTGGGGAGACAGGTGGCGCCGACGAGGAAGAGAGTAAGGTTTACGGTCCGGGTGAGGGTGGTGGGGCCTCCAAGGGTGGTGCTAGAGGGAAGGTGAGATGTACATCATTGTCGATCGACAAAACCAGTAGAAACAGTAGTAGTGTAGTCGTGGCAACAGAAGTATTAGCGGCAGGAGAGGGGAGGGGGAGGAGAGGCTTGTTTGGGAGTGGTCGTCATATCCGTGATACGGTGCAGGGAATGCACTCCTCATGCTTTATACCCTGAAAATCCCCCTTTCTTGAGGAAGGAGAATGAATGGCTTCTTCGCGCGGGCCTAGGTTAGCCGGGCCTTGGTGGGTGGGGTGGTGTCGAGCCAGAACGGTCAGTACGTGAATGTTTGGAACGGCGAGTAGACACGGTGCAGCATTGTCGGGCGCCCAAACCATTTCTATGATCGAAAGAAAGGCCACGCAAACAATCCCAACATTTCTCGTTTGTTTTTTAGCAAGTGGCTCGCATAGAGGAAATCGTTGGGGTTTGGATGGGACGCGTACATTCAAAACGTTAATCAAGAGGAGTTTTTTGCAATCTGAACAGACGTGCGAGTCCAACGTTTCGGGATCAGCATGCGAAGGTACCATACAGTAATACAGAGCGCGGTTCTGCGGTACTGAACATTCGAAGGGTTGCGACGTGTCACCTATTCGACGACGGCGCCAATCGGACGTCAAAGCAGCATGATCGCGGGTGAACCGCGCCCCAGCCCAACGACTTTTCTTGACGAGTGAGCGTTCTCGCACCCTGCGAACAAGTACAGGATAATCACGGCAGTGAACGCTGTTCAGACTTGCCGCCCCCCATCTCTACGTCTAAGCCTTCTCCGCGCCCGCTTGCTGTCCTTATCGCCATTCGATCCAACAACAACAGGTGGTACTCGCTACCCTTCGGAACGGACACAGGAGAGGGAATGACAGGCCCACATCCCCTGGCCACTTTCGCCACCCTTCGACTACCGACACCGCTCAAGGCTACTCGATGGGGCCCGGATTCCTACCCAGCAGATCCCTTTGGAGATCGGGATGTGTCCGTGTTCTCAGGGGAGGAAGACAGGCCCGGCTTCGTGGACTCGGCAACCTTGGTAACTCTTCAGGTGAGGGCGAGGCTTAGAGCTAGGGGGCGCGTCGAGAGAAAATAGCTTATGTTCACAGATGGTGATATCTTACCTCTGACATGACCTGGGTTTGGGTCTTAGCGGGCAACGTTGTTTCACTCACGGTTAGTGCAACGTAGCCGTTGGGTGATTTGGTGTTCAAAAGCAAATCCTGAACACCATGATGAAATTTGGGTAGTTTTCTGTAGTTATCGTGGTTCTCGGCCAAAGCGTGCTAGACACCGTGACAAATTATTATGCCACGTAGACATAATTTCAACAGCGCAAGCGCGGTTTCGCTTAAGAACCTGATCGGAACACGCGAGAGACCGCGCGTACCGTCACGCTCGCTGAGACAATCGTCGTGTCTTTCCAAGCCCTACTTTTTTCATCCTACCTTCGTTAGCAGCGAGCAATTTTTCTGCAGCCCCGGCCGTCTTCACTGCCACCGTCACCGCAGACGTCATGTTCTGCACTCTTTCCGTTGTCGCATGAACCCGGCTGGCAGCTGTCCGCGTATCGAGCCCCTTCTGCCTCTGATTATTGGCAATATTGTAATGTCTCCCACTTCTGCGTCTGCCTTGCTCACCGAACAGCACCGCCGAATCCTCTAGGAGAATACCGCCAAGTTACACCTGACCTTATAATGGAGACGCCGGTGGGCCCGGCCAAACACGAGACAATTGCGTCATTGTTTCTTGTATTTTTTTTCCTTCCTTTCACATCGTCGATCCTGCACAACTCAACCCGCCACGCCCGCAACGAAGGCTCGACATTCGACCTGCGACCCTGACGGCGTCGACATCTACTGCGGCACCTCCCCAAGACCTCGCCCTGGCCCGGCCGATCACACCTGGCGGATGCCGATCGGTGGCCGCGGCGACGGTGGCGGCAGCGGGGTTGCGGCACGGGCACCCGGAGCGGTGAGAGTCCCGCAGCAGCAGTGGCACTTTGACGGCGGTGGTCAAGTCGACGAGTGCGACGAGGCAGTCGCTAGCGCGATTGGGACTCGCCCGCCGGTTTTCGACGCCGGCGGAACCGAGCCCCCCGTGGCCAAGCCAGCGTCTAGCCAGCCCGTCGACGGTGGTGGCAGGAGCGGGAACAACGGGACGGGGGAAGAAATTGATGCTGCACCAGGCCACCGTCAGCCCGGAGGTAGGTGCGCACGTTGCTGCCGTGCAAAGCCGGACGTACAGACCAACGCCTTTGCATGCTGCGGATTGGAGTCCTTCACGTACAGCACCCGCACACAGAACACCATTATATTTTTTTCCCAACGTCTGCATTCTTCGAACAAGAACGGCAATCTGGTGAAACGGCTGCAAACTGGTGTATGTATATATTTTTTTGGTTCAGAAAACTATCATGGTGCGGCCGGCGAGATCGCCGGTGCTGGGGTCAGCAGAATGACGGTGGCAATGCCAAGGGATCACACGGGGGCCTTCCATGGTGAGAGAGATGGAGCAGGCAATCCTTGTCGCTGCTTTAAATATTGCTGTTGCTGTCAAGAAATGCCGTGCGGCTACTGCTGTTGCCGAGTTTTGACGCAACTACCCCATTTGGCGGTTTAGCGGGGCAGCTCTGTTCACGCGGCCGGTTGAACTTCCCCCCTCTTGGCTCGACCCTTTTCGTTCGAATTTTCGCACTCGCAAAATCCGTGCGGTTTGATTGCTTGTCTCCTCTGTGATGTTGTCGCTAAGTCGGCGTGTTCGGGAGGGAGCGCCGCAAGACCACCACCGGCGGTGGTACAGCGAAAGGGGGAACCATCAACATCAAGGCAAGAGCACCAAAACGCGTGGCAATAGGGAAGAGCAACCGATCAATATCATACATCCCAGCTGAGTGCTGAGCCGCAACTGCGAGTTATTCCCCCCCGGCCCTCCACCTGCGAATTTTCCGCAATAGGTAACTCCTCTGTGAACGGCTCCGACAATACACAATGCAGGCGGTCGTGTGGTGCCCTGCTGTCGTGGTTCCCCCGCGCCTTCCGCTTTGCGGACACCTGCCCCGGGGGCAACGGCGTGAGCTGCTCTGGACTATTGGGCAGGACAAGCTCGTCTTCGAAGCGAGAGTCGAGGTGCGAAAGGACTAGATCCTTTTTCACCTGAGACCGACCCGAGATGAGGTTACTATGCCCGGGAGAGATTGGTCGACAGCGCGTCCGATCGACGGGCCTCTCTGTTTTGCTGCCTGCTGATACAAGCTGTTTGCAGCTCGTTTGGTGAATAGCTTCACGAGAGTACGCTTGAAGCTTGCAGCGTGATTATGTGCCGGCCGAATCGGTATCTCTCACACTTGGCGATGCACTCCTCTTTATTATTGGAGTGACCAACAAATCGCTGGCCAGGGTTCGCGTTACAAGCACAACCAACAACCTAGGACATCCAAGTAGGTTTGGTCAAGGTATTTGTCAACACGGAACACCCATGGGGGGGGGTGTACTCATAGTCGTGCATGCCGTAGTCGTTAGACCATTGACCTCGCATCCCTACAAAGCCGGGACGGAGCACGCCGGGTTCTCACCGGACCAGGCTCTCACATNTTCGGCATCTTGTGCTTAATTCCTTGCGTGCGGATGACAGCTGCGTATGACCCAATTTTTTTTCTGGTGCTTTCACTTCCAGAGACAGTTGT